TCTTTTTCTTCTGAACAGGCTCCTCTTGATGCTCGGGGAGAGGGATGGGGTAGTTGTTCCACCATTCTATTTTTTCTTGCTCGAGGATTTTTTCAAAAGTCGTGGCCCTCTCTAAGATGAGACGAAGGAGGAGAGTCCTCGAGAAGAATATAATAGGTATTCTTCCCAGTCTTCTCGATCGAGAGAGGTTCGTGCAAACATTTGTGCAACCATTCACTAAAATGAACGAGAATCCCTTTTGTCTTCTCAAGACGATCCATAATCCTATTCATTTGCGAGACGGTTAGAAAGTGGGACGTGTAAAAATATTTGGCTCGTTTCATTAACAAAATTTGTGCATCCAAAGGTGGAATGTCACGAGCCATCAACACGTTTTCGTCGGACAAAAATTCGTCCCGCATCTTTTGATAACTCCCCACGGTATAATAACCCGCACATTTTGAAAAATCGGAGGCTTTCAGGTAAACGACTCCTTGGATGATATAAAAGGAAAGATCAACATATTTATATTTGAAAGGAATACACGTAGTGAGCTGGGGATGCCTCCTCATGATCCACTTGGACAAAAATACGACTTTGGGGCTCTCCCCTTTTATTTATAGAGAGAAAGAGAGTGTGACCTTCCCTTCCCTCCTCCTCTCTCCCTGCTTCCTCTATCTCTGGACGTCCTTGGATTGGAAAGGGTGACTTTGAAAAAAAAAGAAGGTCATGGTTGGATAATTTTTTGTTTATTAAATTATTACTTTCACTTCCTCATTCCCACACACATTCATCTTTTTAAGAAAAGAAAAAGAGGTCATGGAGATAAGATTTCTTGGAAAGAAGAGAGAGAGAGAAACAAAAAAAAACAAATAAAACGGACGTCATAGAGCCTCTATGTGTGTCTGTGTGTGTCTATATAGATATATAAAAAGGCGAGAGTACTGGGCGAGATACTGGGCGAGATCATTTCTTTTCCATTGGGAGCCATGTCGCTATTAGACGTTTTTTCCAACTCAACGGATTTCGAACGGGGAGGATTTGAAGACGCTAAAGCAAATCTCCAACTTGAAAATTTTTTTGGCGTGTCATTGTGCGACATTTATTCCGCATTTACCACCTCATCAAGCGATCGTTTCTTTCAACCAAGATGTCGAATCCTCCAACCTGCTCGTTCAGAATATATACAGAAATTTATTCGAATCGCAACAAACGAAAGAGGAATCTCCCTTCTCTTGGAATCGGATGGATCGAGCTTTGAGACGGCCCATTCAAACAGACCGGCGATATACGGATCCGCGCACGAGTTTTCGGTGGAAGATTATTTTTTTTCACGAAACGATATTTTACGTTTGGAGTGAGAACGACGGCTGAGGACGAAGTTCATATTGTTCAAACCACAGCCGCTCCTCTCGCCTATTACGAATCATCGTCCCCCAATCTGAAGGAAAGAAGTTTTAAAGTCAGCGACAGGATGAAATATAAGAAATATATTCTAAGACCTTTTCAAAACTATGTCGTTCCCCCGAAAACGCAATATCTCATCGTCACAACCCAGAAGAGTCTCTTTCTCGTCGATCGGTGCTCGTACTCGCTTTGGAAACAATTGAAAAAGGAGATTTCTTTCCAATCGCCGATGATGTTTCAAGAAAAAGAAGAAGAAAACCCTCCGCCACCTTTACCCATCCCTTCCTTAGATGATAAGAGGAGCTGGACCAAACCGTCATGGCCCGAAACAAAATCGACCCGGCAACGGAATGAAATTGAAGTCATCACAATTGAAGATGAGGAGGAAGAAAAAAAATTACCTCTTAAAAAACGGTCGACTTACCGGAACCTACCTGGCGTGCAAGATCCGCTTCAGAATCCAGAAGCTTCTTCTTCTTCTTCTTCTTCCCCGACTTGTTCAAACAGGCAACCTCTTTCGGACTCCTCACAGACAGAACCTCTTCCAGTATCCTCTTCTTCTTCTTCTTCTCCTCCAACCTGTCCCGACATCGTAGAGGTAGAATGTCAGACGGGTCCACAAGCTTCAAAAAGTCCCGACATCGTAGAGGTAGAATGTCAGCCGGGTCCACAAGTTCCAACGGGTCCAGAAATCATGGAGGCAGAATCACAGCCGGGTAAACAAGTTCCAACGGGTCCAGAAATCATGGAGGTAGAATCGCAGCCGGGTCCAGACATCCTAGATCCCTCCACTCATCCCAAAGAGACTCCAAGTGTTTCAAGACAGCCTTGTGAGGATCCAGCCCTTCCCGTATGGAATGATTATATGGACTTACAAAATTTGGTGCAACAGGAAGGAGAAGAAAATAATCATACGGATGGGTGGGTCAAAGACTGTTTAGATCATTTAACCTCGAATGAAATTGAACTGTTATGGAATTGCATTTCTGAAATCACATCGGAAATGGGATAAAAACCAAAAACAAAAAAAAACAATTTTTTTAATAACAAATTGGAGGAGGGTCATGATGTCAATTAAAAAAATATTATATAGAGTCCAATCTTGGTGGTTCACTTCAGTTTTCCAGCATGAGGTGATCCACGTTTCCCGAAATATGGATCCCATTCCAAGAGAGATTGTGTAGAGCCTTCACTTCAGTTTTTTTTTTCCTACCAAGAGGAGAGGGTCCCCAAAGGGCTACCCATGTCCAAAGAGAGAAAGTGTAGAGCGTTCATTTCAGTTTTTTTTTTCAAGTTTAGGGGAGGGAGGTCTCAAAATGACACCCCCCCATTTTCAAAGAGAGATGGTGTAGAGCGTTCATTTCTGTTTTTTTCCAAAGTTAGGGAGTTTTCAAATGGCTACCCATTTCAGAGAAGAGAGAGAGAGAGAGAAGGTGTAGAGCGTTCATTTCAGTTTTCCAACATTAGAAGGTCCCAAAATACCTTCTGAATTCAAAGAGAGATCGTGTAGAGCGTTCATTTCCAGTTCTCCAAGATCAGAAGAAGAGGGTCCGCTTTTCCCAAAAGGGCTTTCCGCATTCAGAGACAGCGAAGTGCAGACTTCAGTTTTTCTCCCTCCCCAAGAATAGAGGGTCCCAAAATGGCTTCCCATTTCAAAGAGAGAGGGAGAGGCGTTCATTTCCATTCTCCAAGATAGGGTCGTCTGCTTTTTCCCAAAATGGCTTCCCAATTCAAAGAGAGAGAGAGAGAGTAAAAGGGTGTGTAGAGCGGTCATGTTCATTCTCCAAGATAGGGTCGTCAGCTTTTTCTCAAAATGGCATCTCCCCATTCAAAAAGAGATCGTAACCAATTTTTTCCAGTTTTTTCCAAGATGGGGGGGGAGAAGAAAACCTAGGATGGAATAACACGACACACAGAGAGAAAGAGAAAAAAAAACGCCATCTTGTCATTTTTGAGGGGTGTTCATACTTTTGACCGACTGTCCTATTCTAAGTAACTGACAAAGCCCATTAGCTGAACACTGGTGGTTTGACTTCAATTCCTGGAGAAAAGGCTGGTTGCATGGCCATTTTTCCATGTGTAACACGAGTTAGTTAATGCACATACACATAATTTAAAACTATTTAAGCGTATTTATATGCATCTGTCACAATTCACAACAATATTTCAAAACCGTTGGCATTTAAATACACCTAATAAAATGCATAGAAGTTTGCTATATATATTAATGAATAAATTAATTTAGTAACCCGAAAAAATTCAAAATAATGCATCAAATCAAAAACACACTAAGTATAGTAGTTCTATACCTATCAAATAATACATTTTGCTGATTAAATGTTTTATTTTGCTGCATTATCGGTGCATAATGCAATCTCGCGCAGTGCGTACCAACCATTATACTACATAAATTTAATTATATTTGAGAGGAAAAAAAAAAAAAAACCGAATGAGTTTCCAAAGTCGCGCACAAGCCAAGCTTACATTCAGCTTAAATCAATGCAAAAATCTATGTTGATCTGAGGAGAGAAAACTTCAGTGACGTCACAGCCAAAAGACAGCGAGAACGCATTTTCGTTTGTTTACCCCAAGTGAGCTAACCTGTTCTTTCTACGGACCTTGAGATCCGACAACTCAAAGCGAATGCGTCGTTAATGTTGGTGCGAATCAAGGAGGTTAGAACCTCCTGGTGCGATTTCGCACCGTTGGAGGGAATAGCATTGGCCGATAGTTTTGAAGTTAGTTTCTTACGGCGATTGCTGGGCAGGCTCTAGTAAGTATGGCTGTGTCATCGGCAAAGAGTGCAAGATGAACAGAGGGGTCTTTAGGGAGGTCTTGCGTATATATATTAAAAAGATACAGCGAAAGTGCCTGCTCCTGTGGGACACCAGCTTTAATTACTCTGGTGGTTGAGTAAGCAGTACCAATTATGATTCTGATTGTTCTGTTGCTGAGAAAAGAGGCTATTAAGCGAATAAAATGATCTGGAAAATTGAGTGTGATTAATTTGTAAATGAGGCAGCGATGTAATACTCTATCAAATGCTTTCGCGATATCGAGGAATATGGCACCGGTCGGAAGCTTGCAGTTGTAGCTTTCAATGATAATGTTGATAACTGTAAGAAGTTGGTGGCAAGTGCTATGATGATTGCGAAAACCGAATTGTTCTTCTGGGAGAAAACTCATGGAAGGGTGAATTCATTGGACGTATCAGCTTTCAGCAGAAGTATAGAGTTTAATAGTTTGGGCTTTAATACCGTTCGAAGGTTATTTGAAGTATTAATAAATACAGATGCAAATTATTTTGACTAACATACCTCCACTAAGGAAAAAAATTGAAATTTCATGGAATTGGTCATTTTATTCGTAAACAATTCATATAATTTCAGTGAGAACGTAATATTTAGTTATTTTACATTTTTCATACAGTCTGATAGGGAATCTGAAAAATGTTTTATAGTTATTCTGATGCATTATAATTTATTTATTAATTATATTAGCTATAATCAAAAATAAAGCAAAATATAATTAGAAAACATAAAATAATTCTACTTTGTCCTCTACATTAGGCATTCGTACCTGAAATTTACCGATACCGACGGTTAATGAAATTGATGTGTTGTGCTTAGTATAGTGGTTGTGCGGGTGTTTGTAGCGGTTATTTTCTATGGGTAGATAGTGTTGTCTACCGGAGACTGGGATATCTTTATATATTATTATTAACGTTCTTTGCCACAGAAATGTACCCAAACATTACAACAAGTTATTTTTCTAAGTGATTACTATTTTCATGTTGTAAAATCTGGTTTGTGTTTTTGACATGGCGGATAGTGCTAGTGAAAGCGACAGCGGTTCGGTTGATGGATTGTGTACTATTCCTCTGTCTTTAACTAGAGAACAGTTCCAAAAACGAATAGACTCTTTACAGCAAGAAAATAAAGTCTTGAAACTTGAAGTTGAAACTTATAAATTTAGAATCAAAAGTTTGCAAGAAGAAAATAAATATTTGAGACAAGTTAGCGTTAATATAGTAAGCCGCTTTCGTGATAAATTCTTATTTTTAAATCGAAAGTTTTGTCATAAGTTTGAAGAGATTAGTTAATTAAATGCCGCTTGTCATGATGTGTTTACATAAAACTATTCAGTAAATCCTAATGAACTTAAAAACTCATACTAACATTTTATTATGCACAATAATTATTTTGTAATTTATCAAATTTAGTATAAAAGGTTTTAAGTTTCTTTTATTACATTTAACTAGTCTATGCGTTTATGCATATGATCTCCACTTTCTCCAAAATAAATTTGTAATATTATGCTTTTAGGAAAAGTGATAAAAATACTGCTGCAGGGAAGAAAATTCCTAACCGAATGTTAATAAACAATCGGACGTTGTTGTACTTGAAGTCTGTCTATCTGTAATTCTGAGCAAGTTGGAAATGAGGCTGTTAGATTGTCTTAAAAGATGTTAAATTAGCTGTTACATATAGCAGCTGTGTTATTAAATGCATTCCAACTTTAATTAGTAGCAGATTTCAACCTAATATTGGCATTACTTTAATATATTAAACAATTCATTTAATTAGTGGCCTTAAAAGGTACATACATTCTTATTAATGTCAAAACTAAACATTGGTAGATATATGAAGTCTTTTGAATAATATGAAAGTTTATAACTGTAGTAAATTAAAAAATAATTCTGAGTACGAAAAATATGTTTTATCTGAAAAAGTAATCCGCTTTATTACTTTATTAGTCTTACTAAAAAGGAAGTGGAATTCCATTTATAGTAATAATGTGAGCAAAAATTTCATCACTTCTGTATCTTGTATAATGATATCAACCATTGTATGCTAAATTGAAACTTTTGTTAGCAATTAAATGATTCTGTGATTGCAAAAATTATTCACATTGGGATAATTTCTGCAAATTATTCACATTGGGAAAACAAGCAAAAGTGTGGGTCATATATTTTTCTTTTGAAAGTGCAATCAAAAGTTCAGATTTTAAAATAAGCTAGCAACTAAACTTTCAGTTAAATTCTGTAATATTTATCACTCACATTAATAGTAGTAGCAATCTACTCACTATTATATTTTCATGACAGAAATTTAACTTTTATAAATAATTGCTGTATGAAGAATAAAACTTTTAAATCAAAATATTAGTGCTGCATACACATTCTAACAGAACACAAATCAAAATTGAAACAAAAACAAAACAACTCAATGACCAATATAGTATAACAAGCAGGTGAAAATGTTTTGTTTATTTTCAAGGTAAAGCCAACAATTTTTCTGTTATTTGTTATATTATTAAGTTTTTTGTTTCTTTTTCAGTTTTGATTTGTGTTCTTCCTGCAGATTGTTGCCTACCTACTTTTGATTTGATTATTTTATTAATTTCATCTATTACTACAGGACTGTAATAATCGCTCAATTTTGAAATTTGTAAACTTTTGTGTGTATGTAAGATTAAAAAAACTTGTAACTTTAATTAGCAATAGCCTCTTAATTCATTTTAATTTGAGTAATTCCAAACTTTTCTGGACTGCATCATTTTTAGATTAATCCACATCTTATATATCTATATATAATGATGATGATGTAGCTAATTCGACAGGAAACCTTTCTCTTAAGCTTCCATATTGGTTAACAATGCACTTCTGCTTCTGAGCAAAGATAGCTGCTTCTCTTTTTACCATAAAGCTATAAAAATTTTAAATGTTCCTGAAATATGCATGATTTAGAGTGCCAAGTGAATTGTGGCCGCAAATGTCAATTGAAATAAAAAATGAATACTTAATCTGCCTTGGCTGCTAAGTTGCTGTTTATTAAGGACAAGTGCTTGGTCAATTGATAATTTTTACAATATCACATGTATATAATGGAATGAAATATGATTTTATTCATTGCAGCAAGCAAAAGCTGAACAGGAAGAAGAATATATTAGCAATACTCTTTTAAAGAAAATTCAAGCTTTGAAAAAAGAACAAGAGGCCTTAGCTATCAATTATGAGCAAGAAGAAGAATGTCTCACTAATGATTTATTTCGAAAGCTTTCTCAAGTGAGTTGAATTATTACCAATTCATTCTGTATTGCTTTTATTTATGTAACTGAATTGTGTTATGCCTAGCATAGAAGTAATGTAATTGTGACTGTTACAAGGAAGGATAAATGTAATAAACTTTTTAATTTATATATATTGCCACACATTTAATAACTTCTATAAATGAGCAAATTGCTTGGGCTGATTTCCTATAGCAATATACTCATGAAAAACTATGTAATTATGAAGCAATCAGAAATGCTTATTTGGCTGATCTTTGGAATATGGTAACTGGTAGTTTGGCGACATTTTGGAGGCGATAAAGGTTACTACCTAAGTAATAATGTGAGCAGTACTCAGTTCCGATTACGCATTATTTTGTGTGAGGGAAATGAGAGATCATGAAATATGTCATGTGATATTAATGGACGAATTGCAGTTCTTAAATCGGAAAACGGGGGAAATTTGGAAAAATATCTGTGGCAGTATATTATTTTGTATTAAGCTTCATTGTGTGTTGTGTGAAGTAGTGTTGAATAATTTTCGGATTGTATGGCGCTGTCTAATATTATTTTAAAGATCCGGAAACAGGTGCACATACCAATACAATAGAGGGAACGTGGAGTGCTATAAAAAGCACCATTCCGAGGCATTGTGATTAAGAGAATTTTACTTTTTATTTAGCGGAGGAAGTGTGTAGGAAAAATTCGCAGAAAAAAATCGTTCAATAATTTTATTGAATTAATAATAAAAGTGTATCCACCATGTAAGCAAGATTCTGAAGAAGATTAGGTAAGTTAGTATTTTTAATTATTTGAGGATATTATTTTTATGCATTGTTCTAAATGTAAGGTGGAAATAAAGTAATTTGGTATTATTGGAAAATTGTTATTAGCAATGATTTAGTTTAAAGTAATTAGGATTGTAAGCTAATTTTTATTAATTTAATGTATGTGCTTATTTATATTTTAAGTAGTGTTTTTGAATTTAATTATATTTTAATTAAATGATAGTTATTTTGTGAATTATATATGTTTGTAGAATTTGGTATACGTTAGAGTGGAAGTAAACGTGCATGGAAATAATTTAAATACAGTCAAAAGTCGTTAATCCGGACTCGTCGGGACTTCGGCGATTCCGGATTATCGATTTTTCCGGATTATAGATCATCAGTTTAAATCTGGTAAAATGGCATGCAGAAATTATAAAATTAAAAATATGAAACCGTAATTTACGAAATAAAGAACAATTATGATCTAAAGGCTATCAAAATTTACAAAAAAAAAAGTTTAATATTTATTTGTTTACTTTATTAAACATTTCTTCTAAAAAATTGTGAAGTAATGTCATTAAGTTGCTTCGTTTTTTTATGTGATAAGTACATTCTCTTTAATTCTATAAACAGACATAATTTTCTTGTTCAGTTACAAAGTTTCCGCTGTTCAAGTCCTATAATTGCAGTGTCGAGAATGCCGACTAATTTGTCAATCGAAATTTTTTCGTTTTCAATAACCTCTGTCACTTTCTTCGCTATCGGAAGCGAATTATAATGACGAGGCATTTGATTTAAATCATAACAAAGACGGAGTACATTGAGATGAAATACTACATTGAGTAAGCAATTATAAGCCAAATAAAATAAAAACATCTGCCCTTAAGATAAGGATATTGGTTTGATCTTTACATTATGGTAACTTGGCGTTTTTTTGGCTAAAATTTGGCGACCAACTCTCCTACAGCAAACCTCTATTATTTTCCCCCGCCGCCATTTTGTCTTCACGAAGTAAAGACATGTTTCTTTTCTTTTTATCTACTGAACACTTCTTCCAACAATCTACTAGCCGAATTACACTTATGCTAGAAATTTTATCTAACATAACTGCTTAATCATGATAAATATTCACTGCAAAATTGGGAAAAAGTGCACAATACCATACTCCTTACGAGTTTTTCAAAATAACACATACACATAAACCATGTACACGCCGACTTATTTTTACTTAAAAAAAATCCCAGAATTGCACAAAAATGGCATTGCGCACACTCTTCACTATATCCATGTACACTGCTTTTTTCTCATAAATTACAAAAATTTCACGAAAATACATGACAGTTTTCTCAATCTTTAAACCCGGTAAAAAGAACATATATTAAATTACCTGATCGCGAAAAAGTATTTACCCTTTACAAATATGAACATTTCCACATATAAAATAAATAAAATATCCAAAAACTTTTACCTCTAAATCATCTATTACATTATACACGTCACCAACGAATTCATACCGCAAGCATTACAAATACTTAGTATGAAATATTTAAATTATTTCCATGCACGTTTACTTCAACTTAAACGTGTACCAAATTCCTACAAACATAAAATTCACAAAATAACTATCATTTAATTAAAATATCACTAAACCATGTACACGTCGACTTATTTTTACTTAAAAAAACATCCCAGAATTGCACAAAAATGGCATTGCGCACACTCTTCACTATGTCCATGTACACTGCTTTTTTCTCATAAATTAGAAAAATTTCACGAAAATACATGACAATTTTCTCAATCTTTAAACCCGGTAAAAAGAACATATATGAAATTACCTGATCACGAAAAAGTAATGAACATTTCCACATATAAAATAAATAAAATATCCAAAAACTTTTACCTCTAAATCATCTATTACATTATACACGTCACCAACGAATTCATACCGCAACCATTACAAATACTTAGTGTCAGATATTTAAATTATTTCCATGCACGTTTACTTCAACTAAAACGTATTCCAAATTCCTACAAACATAAAATTCACAAAATAACTATCATTTAATTAAAATAATAAAATTCAAAAAACACTACTTAAAATATAAATGAGCACATACATTAAATTAATACATACATAAAAACCCATTTCGAATTCACTTTAGTTACGGCCATGGGATCAAAAAATTCACGAACACTGTTTCACATAACACAGAATAAAGCCAAATACAAAATTTCCAGATTTTTTCCCGATTTCCCTCCTTTTCCGATTAAAGAACCGTAATTCGTCCATTAATATCACATGACATATCCCATGATCTCTCATTTCCCTCACACAAAATAATGCGTAATCAGAACTGAGTACTGCTCACATTATTACGAAAGTCCTAGGTAGTAACCTTTATCGCCTCCAAAATGTCGCCAAACTACCAGTTACCATATTCCAAAGATCAGCCTGTATATGTTAATACCATTTAACCATTGTTTTCATGACAAATATTCACTGCAAAATTGGGAAAAAGTGCACAATACCATACTCCTTACGCGTTTTTCAAAATAACACATACACATAAACCATGTACACGCAGACTTATTTTTACTTAAAAAAACATCCCAGAATTGCACAAAAATGGCATTGCGCACACTCTTCATTATATCCATGTACACTGCTTTTTTCTCATAAATTAGAAAATACATGACAATTTTCTCAATCTTTAAACCCGGTAAAAAGAACATATATGAAATTACCTGATCGCGAAAAAGTATTTACCCTTTCTAAATATAAACATTTCCACATATAAAATAAATAAAATATCCAAAAACTTTTACCTTTAAATTATCTATTATATTATAAACGTCGCCAACGAATTCATACCGCAAGCATTACAAATACTTAGTATGAAATATTTAAATTATTTCCATGCACGTTTACTTCAACTTAAACGTGTACCAAATTCCTACAAACATAAAATTCACAAAATAACTATCATTTAATTAAAATATCACTAAACCATGTACACGTCGACTTATTTTTACTTAAAAAAACATCCCAGAATTGCACAAAAATGGCATTGCGCACACTCTTCACTATATCCATGTACACTGCTTTTTTCTCATAAATTAGAAAAATTTCACGAAAAGGCATAAAAGTACTCAACGTATTCCAAAATACTACAAACATATAACTCGCAAAATCACGATCATTAAATTAAAATATAATTAAATTCAAAAACACTTCTTAAAATATAAATAAGCACATACATTAAATTAATAAAAATTAGCTTATCCTAATTACTTTAAACTAAATCATTGCTAATAACAATTTTCCAATAATATCATATTAATTTATTTACTCCTTACAGTTAGAACAATGCATAAAAATAATATCCTGAAGTGATTAAAAATACTAACTTGCCTAATCTTCAGAATCTTCATTACGTGGCACGCACACTTCCACTATTTCACACAACATGCAATGAAGCTTAATACAAAATAATGTAGTACTACAGTTTTCCAAATTCCCCCCCTTTTCCGATTAAAGAACTGTAATTTTTCCATTAATGTCACATGACATATCTCATGATCTCTCATTTCCCTCACAAAATAATGCATAATCGGAACTGAGTACTTCTCACATTATTACGAAAGTCCTAGGTAGTAACCTTTATCGCCTCCAAAATGTCGCCAAACTACCAGTTACCATATTCCAAAGATCAGCATGTATATGTTAGTACCATTTAACCATTGTTTTCATTTTATTTTTTATTAGTTATTTATAATTTAATGATATTTTAAGGTACATGTAGAAGCATAGAGAAATGAGATTCAGCTTTTACAAATTATTCTTTCAGTATAGGAGTGGCAGGATGTTAATTAATAACATAAATTTTTCCCTAAAGTCATGGAGCTAATATTTAAAAATTTTCAGCTTCGTCAAGAAAAAGTGCATTTGGAGCAAACTCTTGAACATGAACAAGAAGCCTTAGTTAATAAGCTTATGAGAAAAATAGAAAAGTTGGAAGCTCAGACTCAAGCCAAGCAGCATAATTTAGAGCAGTTGCGGAGAGAAAAAGTAGAATTGGAGAATACATTAGAACAAGAACAAGAAGCTCTTGTGAATAAGTTATGGAAGCGCATGGATAAATTGGAAGCTGAGAAAAGGTAGGGATGAAATATTTTATTAAATTTTTATGCTTATAAGTTTTAAAAGTTTTTGCCTTGATTTATTAAAAAAATATTTAGGATTAAAATTTAATAACTTATGAATATAAAATATTGGTAGTACATTTTTTATAAAGGTACTGGAATAATTTTAATGCAGATTTATAAGCAATAATAAATTACCATATAGCTTATTAATGTTGATTAATATTAATATACCTTGTTTAATACATACATATATATATATATATATATATAATAAACATTTGTTAATATATACATTTTGTAATAACATTTATTCTGTATAGAGTTCTTTATTTCTTAAATTGCTAGGGAAACTTATCTTTTGATCAAATGATTTTAAAATCAGTATTCATTTCATAGCATACATGTCTTTGAGATACTTTTTTTTTTTTTTTTTTTTGATTAGTTTCTTTTATAATAGCTAACAGATCAGGGTTTTGTAAACCTTTTTTTTTTAGTTGTACAGTCAAAAGTCGTTAATTCGGACCTCAAAGCTACAAACTTTCAAGACCTTTACGGCTGCAAGTATGCGTATGCGCATGCGCGTTTAATGTATAATGGACGGTATAAGCTAAAATTATCTAATTATCGATTTCAGTTAATGTTGCAGATTGTGTTGTTCCTTAATCTTCGAATTGGATCCGGCTTATTATTTTTTGCAGTCTGTTAGAGCAGTTTTATAAAAGTAAGCTTGAACTTTCAATTATGTCAAATAGAATTTCCGATGCTGGAGCTCCCAAAGGATCTACAAAGCGAAAGTATGTTTCGATGTCCATCAAACAAAAAGTGGAATTGCTGCAAAAAATTGGATCCTTTGTTTCTCTAACCATTCTGAAATCTGTTTATCAATTTCACGCTGCTCTGCGGCGAGGGGGGGGGCGCCGTGGCGCATAATGAATTGGAAGTTGATCTGTCAGCACTATCTTTATCTTCAGAGCAAATGTTTTTATTTTATTCGGCGTATAATTCCTTACTAAATGTAGTATTTCATCTCGATGTACTCCGTCTTTGATATGATTTAAATCAAATTCCTCGTCATTATAATTTGCTTCTGATAGTGAAGAAAGTGACACAGAGGTTATTGAAAACGAAAAAATTTCGATTGACAAATTAGTCGGTATTCTCGACACAGCAATTATAGGACTTGAACAGCAGCACTTTGTAACTGAAGAAGAAATTATGTCTGTTTATAGAATTAAAGAGAAAGTATTATCACATAAAACAAAGCAACTTAAATAACTTACATTGAAAGAAATGTTTAATAAAATAAACAAATAAATATTAAGCTTTTTTTTTTTTTTTTTTTTTTTTTTTTTTTTTTTTAAATTTTGATACCCTTTAGAATCATAATTGTTCTTTATTTCATAAATTACGGTTTTATATTTTTTATTTTAAATTTCTGCATGCCATCTTACCAGATTTAAACTGATGATCTATAATCCGGAATCGCCGAAGTCCCAACGAGTCTGGATTAACGACTTTTGACTGTATAGTGTTCAGAAAAGTCATGCTATATGCTTTGATCGTATAATAAAAGATTTGATGTAAGTTATGAACTTGTAGAAAAAAAGGGCATCCCTTATGAATGTAAATGAATATACCCTTTAGCAATTAAGGTATTTCAAGGAATACTCTCCTGTGTACTTCTACGGCATGATTATGTCAGGTTATATAGTTACATTATAAAATAAAACATCATAGTGCATTTGATAATAAAAGCTGTAAATATGTTGAAGAAATTTTCTTATAGAAGCTCTAAAATTTCTACAGTAAGAGTTATATCACAGAAAGAATGACCAGTGTTGAAAGAACAAATTAAAATTTTGTATTTTAAGTGTAAAGTTTTTGTGGGATGCTTTATTTAAGATTTTTAACTTATTAGACTGTTTTTTTATTAGTTTTTAAAAATTTCATTTCTTACAGGCTTTTACAAGAAAAATTAGAGCAACCTGTGTCTGCACCTCCTTCTCCAAGAGATATCAATAAAGGTGATACTGCTGCTAATTTAACTCTACATGTGCAACACCTCCGAAATGAAGTAGCAAAGTTAAAAATGCAGCTTCTGAATGCACAGCAAGAGCGTATGTTAATTTACATTTTATTTTTCTAAACTGAAATTATTTTATTGATATAAATGTTTTGTTTGTTCATTTTGTTTCATATATTTAAGAATTAGGGTTTTAAAAATTAATTTTATTGTATTTAAATTTTTTAATTCATAGAGAAAAGTTGTAAATAGATAAAAAATTATTAAATCTACAGTTTGTACAACATTTTAAGTTAAAAAAAATCCAGAAAATATTTATTTTTCAGAGGAAAGATTTTTCTCTTTAAAATGATTTCCTAATTTTTGAAGTAATTTTTTTCATGGTACTTTTCTGTTAATGGGCTGCCAGTCATCAAAATGTGCATCAAAGCACAATAGCCTCTTTTTGTATTGTCATGAATTAACTCTACACATTGATCTGCTTTTACTTTAAAAAGTCGGAGAATTGCAGAAATTCGGCAATGTGTGCAGCTTTGGCATTCTGCCCATTAAACATTACCATTACAGTTATTAAAAGTTTTTCATGGAGCTATTTCACATATTTTAAGCTTCATATAGTTGTCATCAAATTCATGTTTATAGCTTTGGAAGTTATTATATTTATTTATTTTTTTAAATTTTGAAGTCACCTGGAAGACAAGTTTAAGAACTAAAATGGAGAACAGGTCATGCTTTTATGACAGCGCTTAATAATTGTCATTCAAGACAAGTATTTAAATATAATGCTAATTCCTTGAGTTGTTTTATGGAGGTTTTGATTTCTTTCATTATGCATAGTGTATGTATAATGAAAAATCAGTAGTTACCATATCATATCAGTAGTTAAATTCCTCTTTTTATGGAAATTTTGATTTCTTTAATTATATAAAGCATATAAATACTAAAAATTAGTGCTTATCTATTCTGAAGAGTAGCACTATCTGTATTACCGAAAAGTTGTGAGAAAGTATTCATGAGGCAAAGCAGTATGCTCAGTCTATCAAAAGCTTTCATTACTGGTTTGCAGAACCCATTAGCAAAGCAGTAAAATCACTGAACACTGGTAGTTCTACCTAAGTTGTTTCCAGGCAAACAGGTTGGCTGCATGGGCATTATTGTGGTTTTTCCCATGTGTAATGTAGACACAAGCCACTTACCCTTAGAAAATCATCCACAAAGGCTATCTATCTTGCTGCAAAGGCTATCTTAAGGCTATCTTAGGCAGATAGCCTTTGCACACTTTGTCATAAAACATGCCAAACCAAAACATTTCCCCCCTTTTTTCTTGTAAGTAATGATCAAAATGTACCTGAAAATCTTATATAGTACAATTATGTAGTTGTATGAAAGAATTATCTTGATAATAAACTTTTTAAGAAATGCAATAAAGGCTATTGCTTTCAGAGACTTGAGAATAAAACCGAGTAATTAGAATAGTTAATTTTTAACATTCCTTTCAGGAATCGCATATGCTAAATGGCAACAAAAGCTAGGGCAAAAAGTTTAATGTGAAAAAGATGTATTAAAATGTAGTAATTACATCAAATAAATCTAGGAGATCAAAATTCTGAGGAGAAAAATCCATTACATTTTCCATTATGTTAACCCCTTAACTGCCGTGGGCGTATATATACGCCTTGCTCAGCCGATGCGTTAACTGCCCCAGATGCGCAGCCGATGCGTTAACTTTGCGAATAATTTTAGGTGTAGCAGCGCAAAGCAAATGATAGCAGTTTGGAAGGACGTATATATACGCCTGGGGCAGTTAACGCATCGGCTGAGCAAGGCGTATATATACGCCCGCGGCAGTTAAGGGGTTAAAGGGAAGTCAGCTGGTTTGTCTTTGATTTTTCAGATTATTAGATATAAAAAAAAGTCAAGGGAAATCTGCCTAAACAAATTGTATTTATGTTATATAATTTAACAAAAATGCCTGAAACTTTAATAAGATTGATATTATTTATGATCTTCTTTACTGCATTTTCTCTTTCTTATTATCCCTTTATTTTTTCAGCATATGTTTTAAAAATTTTTTATTTATAGTAACGGCATCCAAGATATAAACAGATAATAAAATACAATGCATGTAAGATGCAGCCGTGTCCGGTGCCAAAATTAATAGACTCAGATTTATCTTTTAATTTATTCACACCATCAACGTAAACTATATACACTTTGTACAAATAGAAATATATAAAATAATAGAATTGTTAAATTTCCAAAATTACCACACTGAGCATACTGAGCATTCGGCCTCTCCCACCGAAAGCCAGTCTCCAACTTACTGTTTTTTTTTCGCCTAGAGGGCGCTACTTATTTTCAGGGTTACAGTTTCGGAGGACCAGGCACTACACCTTCCCCCTAAGATTGTGGTTGGGCAGGATGACCAAACACATTCTGATAACAAAGCCTGGTGCTCACAATTCAACATTATATAACTACTAATTAACTAAAAGAAAATATAAAATATTACAACATTTGCATAACAAAAGAGTTAACTCTTACAAGTATGCAATTTAAAGAAAAACTTCTAAATGGTTAAGAATGCTACACTTAAATCATCTAATTGCTGTAAGTAACTAATTTCAATAACTTTACACATATTACTTAGATATATCTTGCAATAAACTTTAAAGAAAATAAGAAAATTAACAATTAATCTAACCACCAAAATTAAAGTCTTTATTTATTGTCCATAAATGTTTTTGGTCTATGAAAAGACATAAATAAAAATAAAATAAAATAAAAGAAAATAAAAAATAAAAAAAAAGGAAATTCATCCTTCTATCAGTCAGGATAAAGCATCTGTGTTACCCATTTTGACTCCTGGTAGATACTTCATGTCTATTTCGTATTTTTGTAAAGCAAAAGCCAAACAATGTAGTTGGGGTTTTGCTCAATCTAGATGATTGCAGTGCACATTTTGTCAGGTAAGGTAAAGGATTATGGTCGATGTAAAGTTCAACTTTGGATCCAAAAATCCAGGTTTCAAATTTTTCCAAACTCCACACAATAGCATATGCTTCTCTTTCTATAGTAGACCACGATTGCTAAGCTCGAGTTAACTTCTGACTTGCATAGGCTATGGGATAATTGCGTTCATTGAAATTTTGTGACAAACATGCTGCAACTCTTTGTGATGCATCACAATGTATAATGAATGGTTGTCTCAAAACTGGTGTATACAACGATGGAGCTTTAATCAGAGCATTCTTGAGTTCCTCGAAAGCAATGCCATGCTCTTCTTTCCATGGTATTTCCTCAGGTGTCTTCTTTGTAAGTTCAGTAAGTGGATATACTAATTCAGAATATTTTGGAATATAGTCCCTATAATAGTTACATAGACCTAATAAACTTCTGAGTTGCTTCTTGGTCTTCGGTTTTGATAATCTGGAAATTGCTTCTATCTTCTCAGGATCGGCTTGATGTTTTCCAGATCCGATTACATGACCCAAATATTTGATTTGCTGTTTGGCAAAATCACATTTGCTGTTATTGACTGTAAAGCGAAGTTCTTCCAACTTAGTGAGTATCATATCCAAATGAACCATATGAGATTTCCAGTCCTTTTTCCAGATGAAAATATTGCGATGTCATCAATATATGCTCTGGCAAAGTCTTTGTATTCATGGAGTGCTTTATTGATTTCCCTTTGAAAGGTTGCTGCAGCGTTTTTCAGACCAAAACTCATAACTTTAAATCTGTACTGTTGTCGATGGGTTTTAAACGAAGTGTAATCACGACTTTCAGGATCCATAGGAATAGCCCAATAACCTCTTAGTAAATCCAGTGTTGATATTATATTAGCTTGTCTTATTGAATGTATAAGTTCTGAAGCATTTTGCATAGGAAAATCATCAGTAATTGTCACAGAATTCAATGCACGATAATCAACACACAGTCGAATTCCTCCGTCTTTCTTGTTCACACAAACTATAGGATATGCAATTTCTGCACTGCTTTCTTCTATTAAATCAAGTTCTAACAGCTCTTCAATTTGTTCATCAACTTTGGATTTTAAAGTTTCAGGAATACGGTAGATATGTGGCTTTTTCCTTTCTTGATTGGATTTTAATTTTATTTTGTGAAAACCCACCTTTGCAGTTTTCTCTTTCCCTGTAAATAACGATTCGTGCTTTCTTATGAGTTGCTTAATTTTCTGCTGTTGGTCACCCGTTAAATGTTCAAGTTGCAATTTTTGGAGAACAACTTCCATATCTTGAGAAGAAGCTTGCAGAGTTGGATGAATCTCTCCAAATTCTTCTTCATTTTCGAAAATAACTCCCACAGCATTTACTCTAGCGATATACTTTCTAATTTTACTCACGTGAACATGTTTTACTTTCCCATGTGAAAGTTTGACTTTATATGAATGAGGTGGACAGTATTTTATAATCTTCCCTGGACCAGTCCATCTTGCATAAATTTTATTGGACGAATCGGGAATAAGCAAATAAACTTTGTCTCCCTATTTGAATTCTTTAGGTATAGCTCGATGATTAAAGTAATTCGAATAAGCTGCCTGTTTCTCAGATGCTATCAAGGATGCTTGATCAGCTGCTCGTTCTAAGTTTATTTTCATTTCTTGTAAATAATCAACAACTGATTGCTTCATATTTAAGGGTATCGGTATTTCACCACTAAAACTAGATTTCAAAACACTCAGTGGACCACGTATCTCTCGACCATACATTAACTTTAACGGAGAAACCCCTGTAGTAGAATTGGGAACCTCGCGATAAGCAAACAGCAAATATGGTAGATACTTATCCCAATTAGATGGATCCATACGGATGATGTGATGTAGAGCGTTTTTCAAAGCTCGGTTGTACCTCTCGACAAGTCCATTACTAGCTGGATATCCTGGAACTGAAAATCTAGGATGACATCCAAGACGCTTCATAAATTCTTGTGTCAGTTGAGAAATAAAGTTAGTTCCTTGGTCACTTGCTATAATTTTCAGAATACCAGTTCTCGTAAATATTTCCAACAGAGCATCACAAGTAGCTTTTGCCGTTAAAGACGTAATGGAATGGCTTCTGGCCAAAGTGAATG